ATGCTTGGATGCAACTCGCCATCCTGGTTTAAATGAATCTGAAAGCTATAGACCATTCTTAGAGGATTTTACCTCTGGTAAAACAGATTGAAATATCTCTGATTTTACTAACGATCTAATTCTCTAAATGCCTCTACTAATGATTCAATTTATTCTCTTCACCAAGGGAGATCTTTTCTCCACGTTCTACATGTGCTACAGGGTTGCCCCGTGAATGTCATTATTATATTGTAATTGTTTTCTTTTTTATACTGTCCAGATTATTTTGTTGTGCTTTGTTATGTTAATAATTCTTGTACATGCTCTCTATGTTGGAGTTTGTGATCCCCCTCTAGGTTGGGCTTTGCTTTGTTAACATGCCCGGCACGGAAAAAGTCCCCCGGTCCAAACATGGCCAGGGGGCCCCTCTTTGCTGTCCTATGGAGCGAAGGGCGGAACGTTCTCCACCCCTCATGCTCCAAATTGGTCTGTTTCTTTGCTGTCGGCGGCAGTCTCCAACATGGTGCCCGCCAGACTTCTGGAGATCATTTTTCTAGAGTCAGAAGTGACACTAGTGCGTATAACACGTTTGCACCTGCGCAGTTGGGTTGAACGCCGGGAACTGCACTATGGGCACCATCTTCCCCTTGGGCGGATGCATATCAACATATGGGAGGAGAAATACATACATTTCAACATTATTGGAACTATATAAGGCCCTAAGTATTGCGACTCAGAGGCAGTTTTCAAATTGTGTTCGGTCCCTGGGAGAACCACATGTACAACCCCTGTTCCCGACCCCTCGATGGGTTAAAGTCTGAACAGCAGATCTTTGATGTTCAACTATCATAGCACCATGTTTCTATATGTTCATGGTGAATCTCAGGAATGTTAGTGACTACTTTGAATGCCTACAATTAACATTTAATTAACTTTTGGTCCCTATTATATAAAATAAAATAGAGCGCATTCCTTCAGATATGATGTCTAGTGCTATATATTTTTGGGACATCAATGTATAGGACATCACATTAATTGATATGCTTTATCACTACAGTATTCCCCAAAGTGGAACCTGTGGTTCCTGCATGTCAAGCGATTACCTCATCCTATATATGGGGGGGGGCTCATTCTCCAAAACATAGCAAAGCATTTTCAGTTGGACCAATTTTGGTGGTATGTAAATTTGTAAAGTTGGTTTCTCAATTCTTGGACCATAAATAATATGTATAAAGGTTTAACTATCGATAATTATTGTTTTAGAGTGGTATCCTTTCCCTGAGGAAGAATCTGCACTAAAGTATTCGAAAAGAATTGGATTTAGGCTGAAAGCACTTGTAGTTCCCTCAATTGAGGTTGCAAGATGGAAATCAGCTTCAAAAGATACCGCTAACCTTCCAATGCAATAATTACAAACACTGTCAAGCAAATATGTTGTCAAGAATTGTTATATTCTATTGGGGAAATATGTATTGATGTGTCAAATAAAATGTCAAATTTTTTTTTTAATTGTTTGGTTTATATATTTTCTAAGGCTGCCTTAAAAATCCCACCAAATGTAAGGTACAAATCTCTGCATTTGATTTTTAATAGCACCCCAATGCATCTTCACAATGTGCCATGATATATAAAAATGCAATAAGACTTTTTTTTCTATGTCCTTGAGGGATCTCCTTTTTTCCCTATCTTTCCCCATGTGTACACTGTGTGCATAATATTATTAGGCATGTGAGTTTTTTTTTATCAAATCATCATTTTCATGCTTATTGCCCAACTCCAAGCTCTGTAAACTTGGATGCTTATTGGATTTAAGCATATCAGGTGATGTGTATTTGTGTAATGAGGGAGGATGTGGCCTAAGGAGATCAACAACACCCTATATCAAGGTGTGCATAATTATTAGGCAGCTTCTTTTCCTCAGGAAAAATGCACCAAAAAAGAGATCTAACTGACTCTGATAAGTCAAAAATTGTAAAAAGTTTTTCAGAGGGATGCATTGAAATTGCTAAGATTTTGTGTCGTGATCACAGAACAATCAAACATTTTGTTGCAAATAGTCAATGGGGTTGCAAGAAATGTGTTGACAAAAAAAGACGCAAATTAATTGCCAAAGGTTTGAGAAGAATCAAGCTTGAAGCTACCAGGAACCCTTTATCCTCCATTGCTGCCATATTCCAGAACTGCAACCTGCCTGGAGTGCCTACAAGTACAAGGTGTTCAGTGCTCAGAGACATGGCCAAGGTAAAGAAGGCAAAAAACCCAACCACCACTGAACAAGACACATAAATTGAAACATCAAGACTGGGCCAAGAAATATCTGAAGACAGATTTTTCAAAGGTTTTATGGACTGATGAGATGAGTGACTCTGGACAGACCAGATAGATGGGCCTGTGTCTGGATCAGTAACAGACACATAGCTCCACTTTGACTCAAACGCCAGCAAGGTGGAGGTGGGGCTCTGGTATGGACTGGTATTATTACTGTAATAATACCAGCCCATTTCAGAACCTCACCTCTACCTTACTTGCGTCTTTTTAATACACTGCTCAGAAAAATAAAAGGAACACTTTGAAAACACATCAGATCTCAATGGGGAAAAACATCATGCTTGATATCTATACTGATATGGACTGAGTAATGTGTTAGGGACATAAGGATGCCCCACCGTTTGATCGAAATAAAAAATATCAACCTACAGAGGACTGAATTCAAAGACACCTCGAAAATCAGAGTGAAAAAAAAATGCAATAGGCTAGTCCATTTTGCTGAAATATCATAGACTTAAAGTACAGCCAAAACTCTTTTGGCTGTACTTCTCCTGTGGATTCATTCTGCACTCCTGTCACCTGTTTTCAGCAGATGTCAGCTGGCGTCATTCAGCAGCTGGTCCAGACTGGGGAAAGATCCCAACTTGAAAGTTGGGATCCTCCCCAGAGTCTGGAGTGGCACCTGACTCAGCCTCTCAGCCAGCCGCTCCAGACTCTGGGACTCCGCTCCCTCCCTGTCGACAGCCCAGTACTCCAGTGAACACTGGGGTGGCAGAGCAGACAGCGGTGACTGACAGTCACTGCTCTCTGCTCAGAGCGGCGGTGAGAACTCAGCGATCAGCTGTCATGTGATCGCTGAGTTCCCACCCTTAGGGTTGGCGGAGGACAGATGCAGCATCAGTCTGATGCTGCATCCACCTAGGTAAGTATAATCTCTTGTGATCATCATGTATAAATACATAAGTGGTCCATATAGTGAACTTAGTGTAGAGTTATTCCCTTTATGGTCATTACAGAGGATAAGGGAGCACTCTTTACGCCAGGAGGAAAAGAGATTTACCTCCACATATGGAAAGGCTTCTTCACAGTAAGAGCTGTGAAAATGTGGAATAGACTCCCTCAAGAGTGTTTTTATAAAGACCTGGATTCTTTCCTAAATGCAAAAAATATAACGGGATACTGATATTTATAGGTATAGTTATATCTGATTGTCTCTAGGGGGATCAGGAAGGATTTTTTTTTCCCCTGCTGGAGCAAATTGGATCATGCTTCATTGGGGTTTTTGCCTTCCTCTGGATAAACTGTGGGTATAGGATTGTACATATAGGATTGTATATAATGTTTCCCCCTTCTATTGGTTGAACTTGTGTGGGCTTGTGTATTTTTTCAACCAGACTAACTAGGTAACTATATGTAAGTGGCAGTAATTATGGCCAGTTGTTGGCTTCAGTGGGAGGAATAGTTCCTCGTACGTAAGTGGGAGAAATACCACCCCAAGGGGCAGATAAAGGCAAGCACATGGCCACATCCAGCCCCTGGGATCCAGTTTAGAGACCACTGATTTAGAGGTTGGTAAGGAAGAGATATACAAAGCAGCAAGTATTCATTGTTAATATCCTCTTTCACATCAAAAACATACCAGTATGTAAAAAAAATGTCCCTTAAATGACTCTCTATATGGAACAAAAGTATTCCAATCTACTTGCACATCTGTACCTTGTCAAGTAAACACAATAAACAGTCACAAAGGTCTAAAAGGTTATATTTTTAGAAGCAATATTATTTTGATGGTTGAACATTAGTGATTACATATAGAAAGCATCTCCAAGACATTAAAAAAAAGTGGTGTAAAAATAAATATTTAATAATGAGTATACCCATATTTGCATACAAAATTCAAATGTATTACTTTTCTATCCTATGGGAATTATTTATTAAGAGATGTGGAAGTTCTGCTCCAGTTAGTTTTTTTCTTATTCATTCGACTGGAAAGTAAACATTAACACATCTTTATTGCCAGCTAATTTATTATACAGCCATAATATACATGAAATAGCCTAAAACCTTATGTTTTAGTGTAATAAATGCAAACCTACAGCAGATCAAGGTCTCTCCCAGAGGATTGAGCTGAACTGTCTTCAGATGTCCATCCCCAAAGACCCATTACATTAGCACAGACCTCTTGACTAGTGGCTTGGAAAAGGGCATGTGACCGACCAGCAATATTATCCTTATTAGAGCAATAGGTCAGGTGTTAAGCTTTTTGTTAACTGCTACTTGTATCATACAAACTGAATTTTAAGAAATCAAGGCTATCAGAACTGACACTGTTAAAAGGAATATATAAATGTATTTTTTTTTTCTCAAAAGGTTTATAATTTGATTTAGCTAGGTAATCCTGCAATGGTCCAGCAGAACATTGAGCTTGAGTGCATAAGCAGTGGTCCAGCAGAACATTGAGCTTGAGTGCATAAGCAGTGGTCCAGCAGTGCATGGGCATTTTTCAGGGTGTCTGTATTAATGTGGATGATCTTTGGGGTCTGACATCAGGAAACTGGGTAGGGCAGGGCAGGGTAGGGTAGGGCCTTCTTGTAGCTTTCCATGTCACCTACCAGCTCATTCTGCAAGGAACCAGCAGTGTGATGGTACTCATTGTTTGATTCATTATATATTTTTCAGATAAGCCCATATACCAGGGACTCTCCACAAGCTTGCTGGGTATTCTTGGAGGAGTGTTTGTAGCACTTCTCATATTATCAGCTGCATTGAGTGCATTCCTGATGAGAAGAAAAAAGAAGAAGAAGAAGAAGCATAAATCAGACACAGACAGTGACATGTGAGTGTATAACGGCTTCAATAGCTCCCAGAACAAATATCAGTGCTATATACAATATTCAGAATCTCTTTAGCACATACAAGGTAACACTGATGACATAAGTATCCTAATACAAGAATGATTTACTAAAGGAGTTCAAGGTCTCTGTCAGACCAGCAAATGTACCTTCATGTTACAGATTCAGTAGAGTAACTAGAGGTTTTCTCTGATCTGCTCCTTCTGTGGTTTTTGGAATCTTAGCTTTTGATAGGAAGCTGTTGCGGATTCTTTTGTCTTCCCTGGGACCTGCTGTCTGTCTGTTGCTGTTGTTTGTCCTCCCATTCCTGGGTTCTACCATCTGTATGGGGCTGCTTACTGGTTGTTCCTTCATTTACAATCCTTTCTGGCTTTTCCTGCACTCTAGATCTCCATTTTGACATGCCTGCCTTAGTTATCTATTCAGGTTGACCATTTTAGGGTTCATATTGTTCTTTATTCTTGTTCCTGACCCTTTCAGTCCCGTGTTTTGAGTGTTCCTTGGTAACCCTGTGTTTGCTTAGTTCTTGTTTAAATGTCCTGTATTCCCTCCTCCTAGCTCATTTTCCTTCTTGTTTCTGCTTGCTCTCAATCTGTGTCAACAGTGTTGCTTTTCTTCTGGTGATCTCCTTGAAACTGCTAACTTCTAACTTCTGAACTGCCTTTGATCAAGTGCATATCCTGACCATGCTAGAGGTAATTGTAGCCATACTAGTGCACTTGCAACAAGAACAATTGATACTTTTTTATTTGCACTAACATCCAATTTTTCAGGACAAGCTTTTGCGGTATTTAACCTTCCTTAAGGCCCAAGCAATACTAATGCACAAAGTTTTAGCAGAATGTTAAAGTAACAGTCTGTTAAAAGTTTGTGTATTAGTACTGCTGAGGCCTTGAAGAAGGAGACCCACCTCGAAAGCTTGCCCTGAAAAATTGGATTTTTTTTTACATTAGTTTCTGTAAAAGTTTTTAATAAAACCTACAAGACAATAAAAAAAAAACAAATCAAAATAGAATTTAGAACAACGAATAAACATCAACTCAAAACAATTAAAGCAGCAACAACTCACTTTTTATGTCTCGTAAAATAACGATTACATGCAATACCCTAATAACACAAAATTTCAGCACAAAATCAAAGCTGCCCCCATGAGCATACCTTTCAAATCCAGACATTATCACAATACAACCCCTAAAAGGTAAATCATTTAAAAATGGATGTTAGTGAAAATACAAAAAATATCATGGACAGTACTCAATTCTTCTGACCATGCTAGTAATCCACTGTGTTTTATCATCACTATGTTCCTAACTACGTCTCTGCTTCATGCTCTGGTTTTGATTTTGATGTTCCTATTTAGTTACTCCTGAAAATGACCTTAGACAGGGCTCTGGACTGTTTTTGTCTTCAGTTTGGCTCTAGCTCTGGCAAACTGGATATGACATTTGCATACCTGACTACTCCAAGCTTCCTAGCTTACCCTTGAGAGCCCCCTTTGTGTTCACATCAAATAATCTGATAAAATTATTTGGGGGGCGTGAGTCAAGCACACTTGCATAAAGTGTCCTAGGAAAGTGAGTCCTGATTGTTATAAAATTATTATATATGATAAAAGATCTGATGACACAGCATGGATACACCACAAGTAAGGACCAAATACAGTAGATGTTCAATTAAATAGAGATGCAATTTAATTTTTTTGAATACACAGTAATTAACGGGGGTCTCCTGCCTATCCACACTCTGACTGATCTTGGTCTCTCACTAACTCAAGTATACATTTTGAAAGGTTTCTTTTCGTATTCCACAAACATCTGAGGTTCCCTGGTCTAATATAAAAAGAAAAACTGTTTTGACACTTAGTAATCTATTATTTCTCTCTTTTATTTCTGTCTTCAGAGTAGATCCTCCTCCAGCACATAAACCAGCACCTCCACCAAAGAAGAAAACAGAAGTAAAAGCCCATATAACTGCTCAAGACATTCAGGTATATAGATTCATTAACAAACCTAGATAGACTGAACTATGAAAACTTTGTGTAGCAAATTATATTGCTTTGTCCTTCTGCTAGTATAGACCAGAGAATGAAAAATAAGCGCTTTCTGTTATTTGTGTAAAAGCTGAGCTCCAGGCATGCGAGATTCTGAAAAGAAACTAGATTTAACGGAAATAAATACTGTTATTGCTGAATAGGAACCTGTTGGCTAAAAAATATAATTCTATAGATATGGTTTTTAATTGTTATGAATAGGCTCCCATGATTACATTTTTGCATTATCAGCATTTTTTTGCAGGAATTTAGAAGTGTACATACTGCATGTTATCACCTTCTGACAGTTGTCCAGCTACAACTTCCCACATGCATTGTACCAGTACCATGTTGAGGCACATTCAGCTTGGTGTTTGAGAAGGAGCAAAAAACATCAGTAGTTCAAACTGCATAGGTACCCATAGTAATATACAGTGCTCAGCATAAATGAGCACACCCCTTTTGAAAAGTAATATTTTAGTCAATATCTCAATGAACACAAGAACAATTTTCAACATTTTGACAAAACTGGGTTTAATAAAACATTTGTTTTGCTCCTAAGGCTTTCATTGGGGTGTATTCATATTTGCAACATGGTCTTGAATTAATTTGTTAGGAAAAATACTTTTTTGTGTCTGCAAATGAACAAATCTTGTTTGCAATCAATGGCCCGCATTTGTGGGAGTATTTTGTAGTATAGTGTCCCATAGAAAATGTTGATTCTGCGACACCTGCTGGTGGTCACTGGAACTGCAGTTATCAGCCCAGAAAACCACTGAGCCATCAGCAGGTGAACTCAGATTTAAAGCGGAGCTACACCCAAAAGGGGAAGTTCCGCTTTAAGGACTGCTCCCTCGCTCCCCATTAAGGATTGGCACCTTTGGGGGGCGGGGGGGTACCTGAATTTGACAGGTACCCACTCCCAATTTCGATCTGATCGCCTCGGCGATCGGAAACAGAAGGTGTCCTCCCTTCCTCCCTCCCTGTAGTCTTTTGGGACATGTGACAGGTCCCAGAAGACTACAGGACCATTCATGAAGCGCAGCGTTACTTCCGCATGCGCAGTGGGTACCCAGCTGTGAAGCCACAAGCTATTGCGTGCCAAGCTGTGAAGCTGCCCACACTGAAGATGCCGGCCTCCTGGAATACAGGACGGCCAGTGAAACGGGCTGCGGGGGACACACCACGTGACCGAGTGACAGGTGAATGGCTGTTTTTTAAAAGTCAGCAGCTACAGTTTTTGTAGCTGCTGACTTTTATTTTTTGACAGGTGGGTGGAACTCCGCTTTAACAGTTCCCCTGCCTTGAGGAGTGGCCTCTGGGTGCTCCGCCATGTCCAAACACCATGGTCTTGAAGTTGGCTAGGCACCTCACTGCTGGGGTCTGGAAGCTGACTGAGTAACGTGCCGCCGGAGTCTGGAGGCTGACTAAGTACCCCGCCGCCAGGGTCCAAAAACAGGCTGGGCTCCCTGCTGGTCAGATCCCTGAGGAGGCACAGCACTTGGAGCTTACAATCCTTTAATGCAGCATATCTCCCAATGCTGGGATTATGTTTGCAAATCTTGTTTGCAATCAATGGCCCGCATTTGTGGGAGTATTTTGTAGTATAGTGTCCCATAGAAAATGTTGATTCACTGTATGTTGTGGTGTGTCTACAACACATGAACACCAAATTTCTTTATTGTTGCCACTTCCTCGGTTTAAATATGATACACAGATGTCTGCAAGTACAGTTACATTTAGCTTATAAATGTATACAGTATATGAAGGGACTTCGATCATATTGCGGAATCGATCAATTCAGATATGGAATCATATGACCTCTACATGTTTCTAGGTCAACAGTTAACCATTTTGTTAGAAACACTGTCCGATAGATAGGGTGTTTAAGTGAAACCTTCTTATGTAATAAATCTGTATCATCTGTCTGGTTTACTAAGTCTACAAACAACATATTGTCCTTCCCCAAGGGGAGTTTACTGTGTATATCTCTGCACATTGTAATACTATTGTACGCTGTTAGATGTATTTTCTTCACTGTGGGTTTTCGTATCTTATAAAAATTGCAGTTATATAAAAATGTATATATGAAAAAGTTTGATGGTTCAAATAAAATAATATTTTATAATCTAATAATAATGCAATTTAAACCTGGGTTAAAATATTGTGTTTGTCATAGTTGCAAATATATATACAGTATATATAATAATAATTAATAACAAATTTGTTTGTGACTGTCTCTTCAGATTGTGCACTTAGACCCGGTAAAAGCAGAAGAAGAGATTATTGCACTACCCATACAGACACCTTATTATGATATCTCAGCATCAGACTGTGAGAAGAGGGTAAGATGCACCTAGGTAAAAAATTGACATGTAGATATTCCATGTATGTTAAAAATCTTTGGTAGCGTGATGTGGAGTGCCTTGTTGGTTAGGAAAATCAGGTACAACCAACATGCTTCAGGGAATGTGGACTTCTTATACTTCAGGGCTTAAGAAAATTCTTGTATTTGGATTCGAGCATTATTTGAAGCAAAGACTGGCATGTAGACTAAGGCTTGGTTTATATATGTGCAGGTGCGGGAAAATCTGTGCAGCCGCACCACCCACACCAAGAAATGCGGACCCGCGGGTGGGTGCCATTAGTTCTAATGGTTCTAATTAGTTCTAATGGCACGCCGCTCGCACTGGAAATCGCAACCACACTGGGAACTGAGGTTCCCGTGTGGGCTCTATTTCCAAAGAAGTGCAGGGACTTCTTCCCTGTGTGTCATGGGGCACGGGAGTCCAATCAAATGAACGGGCTTTCGTGCCAACGCAAAATGCGGCCCGCGCGTCTGCATATATGTGAACCAGGGCTTAGGGAGCTGAAACAGCAGCTTGCTACGTCTATGATACAGGCAACACTACCAATACAGCAGGCACAGTGTCAGCTCCTCTACTGCATAGTAAATAGAGAGATTGTAACTTTTGCTTTTGCAATTGAAGGATTCAACGACCAGGAATGACTATAGCAGGCAAGCACGTGCACCACTCTAGGGCACCCCTATTCCCAGTTTTTGCCCTACCTTTACAGCTCTTCCCACGCTGACTGCAGGAGGTTCCCTGTCAGCTCCCCTCCTCATTCACACTACATTCCATTCTGCTTCTTCTTTACCTCCTTGTCCTCCTTCTGTCTCCCCTTCATCCTCATTCTTGTTTTGTGATCCAACTCTACCTCCTCTACTCCTCTACATGTCTTCCATGCTCAGCCACAATTCTGCATCCTCTTGTCTATAGGTGCATGAGCAGCAGCTACTCTGCTTCTTCTCCTAGTGGTAAAACGGAAAAATTTGAGCGCTTGGTGAGTGATAAATATGATGGAGTAGCTGCTGGCATATGAAGGCAAACCTCAGGAGACGACAAATCAAATTGGTAAAATATAAACTATGCAGCGCTCATAAACATATAAACATGAAAAGTAGTCATATACATCAAGATGGATATATCCAAACGGTGCTAAACACAAAATGATAAAATGTAAACCATAACGAGTAACATAAAGTCACTAGTAGTGTAAAATATCTGTGACTTCTGTGATAAAATCAATAAAATCGTTAAGCAGAATATCCGTGACTCCTGTGTTAGTAGAAATGGATATAGATTGCACTAACCAGATGGCGAAAATGCTGGATCTGTAACACTGTAGACAGTGGAAGTCATCAACGCAGCAACCACCAGGTGTCATACATCCGGATATGGTTTCCAGCCTCCAGAGATGCCGATAACAGCCACCAGGGGGATCATGTACAGTACCATGTGTCATGTCAGCAGGAATCAGGAATCACCTTCAAAAGTGGGGCTCCCAAACAAAAACGAGCCTCAGAGAAAGCCTCCAATAGTGCAGTATTGTTTATTAGTCAAAATTTGAACATACAAAAAGAATCTCACTTACATTGGAAATCAAAGATGGCCGCGGGCCATCCATATATGGCCATCGGTGTGTACACAGTAGTTAGGGGCACTTCCCTAACGCGTTTCGTGTTCAAACACTTTTTCAAAGGGCTCCTAGTGGTTTAGGACTGTCTCCTTCCATTATATATGCACATATTCACCAGCACGTCATAAATCGTCAAGTGTCATTCAAAATGTTTATTGCAGACAGATTATATCACAAAGGACCAAGTGAAATGTTTTGGAACCATGCAAAACCCCTTCATCAGGCATGTGGTCACATGCAGATTCATTGTGTGCTGGCAAATATGTGCATTGATCTGCAATGATTCCAGGTTCCAGCTGATAGTTGGTGCAGCACCCGCTGGAACGTGTGCAATGGGAATATTGACAATCCTTCCATAATCAAACATACTTGACCAACATGTGTTCAGCTACAATATTGTCTGAGTGGAATGCTTCTGCGCTACCCTATAGCAGAAATACTGCTACAGGGTGGCACAGGTGTACAAAATCACGTATATATACGTGATTTTGCAGTTCCAGGTAGGGGGCACGCGCTGCCATTCGCAGCCTCGGCTGTCAATCATAGGGTCCCGGCTGGTGATTCCCCACCGACACCTGGCAATCTCCGAGGATTTCCGATAGCGGAGAGACCTGTTTGTAAACAATACAGATCTCTACATTGTCAGCTCCTGCACCATACAAAGCAGTGTGCTTATAGTAAAACACAACACACAATTTCATAGTAAAACAGCACACAGCGCACAGTTAACCCTTTGATTGCCCCATATGTTAACCCCTTCCTGCCCGGTGCCATTAGTAAAGTGTCAGTGCTTTTTATTAGCACCGATCACTGTATTGGTGTCACTTGGGATGTCAGTGACACCAAGTCAGTTCCCCCCAGTGTCAGAATGCCTGCCGCAGTCCTGCTATAAGTTGCTGATTGCTGCCATTACTAGCAAAAAAAAAAGAAAAAAAATGCATTCCGCAATTTGTAAATGCTATAACTTTCACATAAACCAATTAATTTTGTTTAGCAAATACATGTATCAGAATGCATTTTGGCCTAAATTTATGACAAAATTTTATTTTTAAAAATTTTTTACTGGACATGTTTAATAGCAAAAAGTCAAAAATATTGATTTTTTTCAAAATTGTTGGTATTTTTTGTTTATAGCGCAAAAGATAAAAATGCACAAGTGATCAAATACCACCAAAAGAAAGCTCTATTTGTGTGAAAAAAAGGACATAAATTTAATTTGGGTGCAGCATTGCATGACTGCGCAATTGTCAGTTAAATTAATGAAGAGCCTTATCGCAAACAAAAAAAGGCCTGGTCAGGAAGGGGGGTAAATCCTCAGGAGGGCAAGTGGTTAACCATTAGCCGCCCGGCCAATAGCCGTTTGGCGGCTTGAAAAGCGCTGCAGCTTTCCGGGTCCACGCCATTTGGCGTGCTCCCGCACATGCGCCGTTTGCGCTATTGCAGAGCGGCGCAGCAGCGGGATCTGTCACCGCCCGTGCACCTCGGACACGGCCGATGACAGATCCGAGTACCGGCTCCCGTTGCCGGTACCATGTGACCTGCCGCGACCAATCACAGCAGGTCACATGACAGTTGTATACAATGGATGGCTTCATTCATGATGCCATCCATTGTATACTAGTGCCTAGCTGTGAATGGTCACAGCTAATCACATGCACATGTCATGTGATTAGCTGTGACCAAATCACAGCTAAGCACAAAAAAAAAAAAAAAAAAAAAAAGCTGAATGAATCGATTTCATTCAGCTAAATGCTTGCTTATAGCAAAGTAATTCTTTGCTATAAGCAAATTGTGTAAAAAAAAAAAAAAAAAAAAAAAATACTGATCACTTCCCCAAAGTAGTACAATGTTACTATGGTAACATTGTACTATTTTGGTCATAGTAAAATATGAAAAAAAAATCTTAAAAAAAATAAAAAAAAAATGTAATAAAAAATTAAATATAATAAAAAAATAAAAAAAAATTAAAAAAAAATATAATTTTTTTTTTTTTCATACTGTCACCAATCAGTGTCCCTGTTCACCGCCATGCCAGTTATATGATGACGCTGTACTGCACTGGTGACAGTATGTAAAAAAAAAAATAGTGAAAATAATATTTTTCATTTTTTCATTTTCGGAAAAATTTATGACAAAAAAATACAACTTCAAAAAACTCGCCATGCCTCTTATGAAGTACGTCGGACTGTCTACTCAGCAAAAAGGGGTCATTTGGGGATATCTGTACTATTCTGACATTCTTGGACCTCAAGAAATTAGATTGGCTGTCAGTACTTCAGGATTGATCAATATTCAGATCTATACCATAGTTTGTGAACTCTATAACTTTCCTACAAACTAAATAATACATCCTAATTTGGGTTATTTTCACCAAAGACATGGAGCAGAATACATCTCGGCCTAAATTTATGAAGAACAATTATTTATTTGTAAACTTTTATAACAGAAACAAAGAAAAATGTGTTTTTTTTTCAAAATTTTTGGTCTTTTTTTGTTAATTTAGCAAAAAATAAAAACCCCAGCGGTGATTAAATACCACCAAAAGAAAGCTCTAGTTGTGTGAAGAAAATGATAAAATTTTAGTTTGGGTACAATGTTGTATGACTGCGCAATTGTCATTCAAAGTGTGAGAGCGCTGAAACCTGAAAAATGGCCTGGGCAGGAAGGTGTAAAATTGCACGGTATTGAAACGGTTAATAGATCAAATACAGTATTCTGCCAAAATGAACCTGTTCATGAATGGATACACCTTTGTTATTAATTAAAAGGAATAACTGTTAAGAGCAATGCCATTGTGCATAAACTGTAAAGCTTCATATTAAACCACAATGTTTAGACCTAGTTACTTTGTTCATGCACATGCAGTTCATAAAAGAGATTGACCGTAAACTGTTTATACTGTATACTCTGTGATCTACAAGTCTACAAGGTCTACAGAACGTGTCCTGTAGACAAACTCAATTCTGAGAAATAGCATGAGAATCAAAGCAGTATTCTGACTCTATATATATTATTGAATCTAGAAAGAAATCAAATATTTGTCTCTGCCAGTAATATTAAGCTGATGTCAAAGAATCCATTGTTGTCTGTCAGCTGAAGACTACTAAGATCAATGTTTTGGCAGTATGCAATCTTTCTTGCTTGCAATGACTGACGTGTATTATCAGTATAACAGCTGATAAATATGTGTACCGCCAAATTAATATATTACTGATTCAACAGAAATGACTTTATCAAGACATCCTGTTATTAAAGTGTACCTGTGGGGTGTCAAGCCATTAGACATGATAAGCTGCCTCCATTTCTGGTTTGCAGGCATTTTCAGGCATCTGTATGCATTTCTGAATTTGGAGAAAGCCCCATT